GTACGTGCGTGTTTGATCCAACAGTTAAAAAAAAAACCAAAATGTTAGCAATCTGAGCATGGGACTTGTTCTTTGATTTGTGTGTTTTCAGGATTTGAACTGTGTGGCAGGAAGTATGCCTTATTTTTATGATCGAGCAAAAGGATCAAGGTTTCTCGGTTTGGAAGGCGGAAGCACATAGCTTCTGAGTCCCCTCCAATGACCTCTTTTGTTCCCACAATGCAGACTTCTCAAGGACTTGGTCTGCGAGGGTTCCATACTGCACCCCACTCTGCAGATGAACCCAGTTACAGCCTGTGCTCAAGTCCCACTCCAGGTGATGGATCCTGAGCGTGGTTCTCAAGGTATCCATTTCTCGCACTTTGGGAACAAGGAACTCCCATGTTAGTAGCAACCACCATACAGACCCAGCAAACCTCATATCAAAAGGCCAGAATTCTCTCGGTTCCCCGGCACCCTCCCTGGCCCTGACTCTGGCACCCTGGCTTGCCAAGAGCAGAAGAATCCCCCCCCCTTTTTTTTTAATTCTTGGGAACTTTATTTATTTTTTTCTAGTTTTATTGAGCTATGATTGACATCTATATCAATCGACGATATATTGACATATATTGATTTATGTGTCTGTGCTGTGAAATAATCACCACAGTACATTAACATCACCTTACATCGTTACAGGTTGTTTATCTCTTATGAGGAGATCTTTGAAGATCTAGTCTCTCAGCAACTTTCAAAAATACAATACAATACAGCTAACTATAGTCACCATGTTGTACGTTATATCCCAGAACTGATTTACCTTATAACCAGAAGTTTGTTCCTTCTGACCCCCTCCATGCATTTCCTCCACCCCCCAACCCCTCAACTTAGGCAACCGCCTATTTGTTTGCTGTAATCTGTGAGTTTGGTATTTTAGATTTCACATATAGTGAGTTCACATAGCATTTGTCTTTGACTTATTTCACTTAGTATCATGTCCTCAAGATCTAGCCGTAGCTAGTCTCAAAGAGTAAGATTTTCTTCTTTTTTATTGCTGAATAATATTCCATTGTTTATATATACCACTATTTTTTTTATCGTTTCATCCATTAGTGTGCACTGAGGTTGCTTCCATATCTTGACAAGTGTGAATAATGCTACAACAAACAAGGGGCTGCAGATGTCTTTCCGAAAGAGTGATCTTGTTTCCTTTGAATATATCCCCAGATATAGAATTGCTGGATGATGTGGTAGTTCCATTTTTAATTTTTTGAAGACCCTCCATACTGTTTTCCACAGTGGCTGCACCAATTTGCATTCCCACCAACAATGCACGAGGGTTCCCTTTTCTCCATTCTCGCCAATACTTGTTCTTTCTTGTCCTTTTGATACTAGCCCTTCGACAGGTGTGAGGTGTTATCTTATTGTGGTTTTGATTTGCGTGTCCCTGAAGATGAGTGATGTTGAGCATCTTTTCATGTACCTCTTGGCCATCCAGATGTCTTTTTTGGAAAAATGTCTATTCAATTCCTCTGTCCATTTTTTAATTAGATTTTTTTTTTTTTGCTACCGAATTAAATGAGTTCTTTACGTATTTTGGATATTAACCTCTCATCAGATAGATGATTTGAATTTTTTTTTCTTCCATTCTGTAGGTTATCTTTTCATCATGTTGATGGTTTTCTTTGCTATGCTGACGTTTTTTTAGTTTGATATAGTCCCGCTTGTTTATTTTCGCCTTTTTTTTGCCTTTGTTTTGGGCGTTAAATCCAAAAAATCATTGCCAGGAATGATGTCAAGAAGCTTATCCCCTATGTTGTCTTCTAAGAGTTTTGTGGTTTCAGGTCTTACGTTCAAGTCTTCAATCCAGTTTCAGTTAGTTTTTGTGTTTGGTATAAGATAGAGGTCTAGTTCCATCCTTTCGCACATGGCTGTCCCGTTCTCCAGACACCACTTATTGAAGATGCTGTTGTTTCCCCATTGTGTGTTCTTACCTTCTTTATCATAAAATTAATTGACCACAAGTGCATGGGCTTATTTCTGGGCTCACATAGTTCTTTCTTACACCTACTTAATCCTGTTAGCCTCACCCCTGTGAGATTACAGGCAGGGATGGGCCAGGGTTTCGAGATCTTGTCTCAGCAAGTCTGCCTGAAACCCTGCCATTGCCCTCCCCAGCTGGGATGCAGCCCTACTGTGCTTGGTCTTGACGGTTTTTTCACTGTGGCCGGCCGGGTGAGCACAACTCAACTGTAATGAGCCCTGGGAGGTTGGTGCCTATTGTCCACTGTGTGGGGGCTGGAAAGGGCTCTGGAAAGTGTCACTAGAAGCAGAGGATAGCTGTCTCTGGGCCGAGGAGCTAGTTGGACACACTTGACTGCTTAGTGGCCAAGTGGAACCTAGGTCTCTTTCTTCCACATACTCTGACCTTCTTTCTCTACTTACTGGAGCTCCATGGCACCACCCCCGGGCTCTGGGCAGAGGTCTTGGCACTGGTCTCCTAGCCCCCACTTCAAAATGTAGCTCTTCTGTGTTTCCCAGGGCAGCTGTGGCCCAGAGAACCCTCTCCCAGTGTCAGAGCCCTGGCCACCTTATACGAAAGGGAAGCAGCTGCTGGTCTGGCTCAATGTGGTCAGAGATGTGTCCTCCAATCCCTTCCCACAGCCTGCCCCCACTGCCATGCTCCCTCACCTGCCACTCGCACAAGAGTCCGAAGTCTGAGCCTGAGGGATATTTTGCTTGGGTCATAACGTTATCAATTGTTAGTACAAATTAATCAGTGAGAGCATTCACCACACAGGGATGTGTGAAGAACAAATGAGACAGGGCCTAAGACAGTCTACTGGGGCCCCTACAGCCAGGGGCTTGGGGGTTGGGGTGGTGGCTCTGGGACGGAAGTCACTAGGGTTCCCATTTCGGCTCTATCACTCCTAAGTGGCGTGAGGTAGAGAATGTCGCTCGACTTTCAGCCTGTACATTTTCATCTGTGAAAGAGAGACCGCCCCAGGCCCTCACAGGGTTGTTCCCAGCCAGTAGTAGTCTTTGAAGCAGACTTAGCTTTGTAAACTGTGATGAACTCACAAATGTAAATTACACACAAGTCACGAAACCATCTATAAAAAATGGCTTCTCATCACGTCTCGGCCTTTTGGCTAAGATCAAGTGTATAAGCAGCTTCTTTTTTTCTCTTTAAGGGAGGGGATGTGGATGTGGGAAATCAGGTCTGGGTGGGCCAGTAGGGGATTGATGGCAGGAGGTCACTGCACCGGCGCCCCCAAACCTGCATGGGAAGGACCACAATGGGGGAGAAAGAAGGAAAACAAAAAAACTTCTCTTACCAGCAGTTGCATTTGGGGCTAGGCCCAGTCAGGCCCTGGTAGGGTGGAGGTCAAGGAGCCCCCATGGATTAACAAGTTCCAGGGGCAACTGGGGATTCAGCTGTGTCAAAAGCATCCATTGAATCAGGCCAGTGAGTCATCCGTTTGGTGAAATCCCCAAGGTGCAGCAGCGGCTTGGCAGCCTCCCTGGGAGACTGCGGCGGCAGTGCCCCACTGGCGAGCCTGGAAGCCTTCAGAGGCTGCAGCAGCCATGTGACTCCCAGCCACCCTACTGCCTTTTAGAAAAATTTTTTAAAATGATAAAAACCCGGGGCGCCTGGATGGCTCAGTGGGTTAAGGCCTCTGCCTTTAGCTCGGGTCATGATCTTGGGGTCCTGGGATCGAGTCCTGCATCGGGCTCTCTGCTCAGCAGGGAGCCTGCTTCCCCCCCACCCCGCCTCTGCCTGCCTCTCTGCCTACTTGTGATCTCTGTCTGACTTGTGATCTCTGTCTGTGAAATAAATAAATAAAATCTTAAAAAAAAAAAACGATAAAAACCAAGACTCATAGAAAAAAAAATGGGGTATAAAAAAGAAAATTAAAAATGATCCATAAGCCTATCCCAGACTGCCCTCATTATCTTCTTGATGTTCTCCTTCGTTCTGTGCAGGTGATGGCAGTCAGGTTAGGCAAGGCTCTGCCGAGGTAATGCATGGGCCCCAGGGGACTCCCCCTCCCCAACCAAGGCCAAGGGCCTACTGTGTTCACCCCCTTCTTTACTCCTTTTCAAGTCCTGGCTCTTAAAGGTAATTGAGACGGGAAAGCTGGAGATATTTATCACTAAGTGTGATGCTGGGTGTTGCTTTAAGTGAGGTAGTCTTTATCATAATAAGCACGTGCCACCTTATTCTGTTTTTTTCTTTTTTCTTTTTTCCCCCAAAGACTTCATTTATTTATTTGACACAGAGAGAGAGAGAGAGAGAGAGAGAGTGCACAAGCAGGGGGAGCGGCAGGCAGAGGGAGAGGGGGAAGCAGGCTTCCCGCCCAGCAGGGAGCCCGATGCGGGGCCATCCCAGGATGCTGGGATCATGACCTAAGCCGAAGGCAGACACTCAACCCACTGAGACACTCAGGTGCCCCACCTTGTTCTGGTTTTAAAGCTTTCTCCAGACGGTCGGAACGGGACGTTGACTGTCACCGAACGCTTCTTTACCTTTACTGAGGTTCTTTCATTTTTGCCTTGTTCCATTTTTTAAAAGTACAGGAAGCATGGGACCTTCCTGTTTCGCCGTTTTATATGCTTTATCATCCAGCTGTTTTTAACAATGTTCAAGAGAGAAAGAAAGAATGAGGTCACCAAGCCCAGATCTCAGAGCACAGATTCCGAGCGAAGAATGAGGGAGTCTTTTGAAGGAACAGAAGGATGATAAGTCACTTTGGGTGGAATGAACTGGTCAGTCACCCAATGGCTCAGAATCGTGGGTTCTGCCCTTGACCCTGAAAATCAGGAGCTTTGTTTTTGTCAGGAGGCAAGCTGGCCCTGTGATCTGTGGGCTCGGGGGAGCCTCGGTCTGGTGACCTGACTCAGCCCTGGGTGTCGGGGTGCCTGGTGAGGCTGTGGGGCCATCGGGGGCCCAGGGGCCTGGGTGGCTGTCGGGAGCTGAGAGGAGCCACAGCGGTGGCGGTGCTGACCCCTTCTCTCCGCAGAACTGTCTCAACAAACAGCAGCTCCTCACGGCCATCCGCCAGCTGCAGCAGGTGCTGAAGGGGCAGGAGACCCGCTTTGCCGAGGGCTTCCGCAGCTTGAAGAGCCAGCTGGCGGCGCTGCACCACTCAGCGGCCAGAGCGGGCCCGGACTCCCCCCCAGGTGCGTCCCTGCATCGGTGCTGCTGGGGCCGCTGGGCATGCAGGCCTTTCCCCTGTGGGTTCTCTCCCCACCCCCCCACCGCCCCAGCCCACACCTGCCCCTGTCCTGGAGTATACCCCCAGGCCTTCCCCTGCCTTGCCTCCTGTGGTGGTGGGTGGGGACACTTGTCTACCCAGGCTGGTGGGGAGCATGGGGGGAGGGCGTGAAGAGCATCTGTTGGTTCTCCTCTCCCCCATCTGTCACCCAGTTCCTCTCAGACCTGTTTGTTCTAGGCTTGATAACATTCCTCCACATGTCCTTACAGAACTGTCGAGAGCCATGGTTCCTGGAGGCTGAGCGGCTTTCCCCTTCCCTGTCCCCCCCACCCAGGTGGACTTGGGTTGGTTCCTTTTTTTTAAAGATTTTATTGATTTGTCAGAGTGAGAGCATAAGCAGGGGAAGAGGCAGAGGCAGAGGGAGAAGCAGGTTCCCCACTGAGCTGGGAGCCACATGCAGGACTCGATCCCAGGACCCTGAGATCATGACCTGAGCCAAAGGCAGATGCTTAACCGACAAAGCCACCCAGGCATCTTTTTTTTTTTTTTAAAGTTCATAAACTGTTTTTTTCTGGCAGTTTTAAATTCCCAGCAGAACTGAATGGAAAGCACAGAGAGTTCCCTCCCCAAACACACACATGACCTCCCCTCCACCAACGTCCCGCACCAGTGGGGCATACTTGCCACAGCCCATGAAACAACATTGGTGTCAGTTTCTCAGGTATGACAGTCAGCCCTCTGACGTGAGTCCCCCCATTGGTGGTGGTGGTGGGTGGAGGGGTTGCTGCTCAGGCCAATTCCCATTCGGTGAGGTTCCTGTGGGTCCCTAGACTCCCTCCCAGAGGGTAGGACTCTGAGAGACAAAGGGCATTTCCCTCGTGGTCCCAGTCACAGCTTTCACCGTGGGGCCATTGCACAGATGACTGGATTTCTTCCATCTAGCCTCCAGGTGGCTTCTCCTCAGGGTCACACGGGTCAGGGGGACATCCTAGGGAATATCTGATGTCATTTACTCACTTCAGACACATCTATCAAGGGCCTGCTTTGTGGTTTTGTGGTGTGAGATGAAGCTTCCTGGGGAAGACAGTGGATTTCCTACCCCTTTGGGATCTGGTAGCAGATCCGGAGTCTCACCAGCACTAAGTTGGCGGCTACTGTTTTCCTTGGCTCCCCCGGTGCAGAGCTAGGCTGACCCACCAGTGTCCTCATACTTTCCAAGGCACCTTGAGGCCCTGGCCTTCAGGGCGGTTCACTGCAGCCAGACTACAAGAGGCAGGCAGGGCATGCTTCCTTTGTGCTACAGACGCAGAAACTGAGGCCAAGAGAAGTTGAGTTAGCAGCACTAGGTACTAGATCTGAATTTTTTTTGTTCCTGCTAGAGGCTCAAATGCATGGATCCTTTCTGCTTTCCCAGGATCACAGCTCCTAGGGTCCCTGGAAGCTTCCAAAAAGAACTTGCAAGAGATCCTTCATAAAACCGCCCCGCCTGTGTTAAAGACCTCTGTCCACTAGAATAGACAAGACAGGTAGCTGTTGTGACATTACTGACCCTCTCAGTGCCAGATTCAGAGTCTTTCTTCCCTGAACCATACAAGATTTTTTAAAATGGCCAATTCTCTTTTTAGATATTGCCACAGTGCCACTGCCTCTCCCATGGGCTGGACATGGAGGCGAGAGGCTGTCAGGGTTTCCACCGCAGGTGCAGGGCTGGGGGTGCTGGGCCTGTAGCCGGAAGCTTCCAGGTTGTAGGCAAATGATTTTTAACTTTTTTTTTTTTTTTTTAAGGGCGTTTGCGGGGAGTCAGAAAGAATACTTTCTAGTCCTGGAGAATTCTTGGCCTTCCTCTTTCTGGCTTCTAGGAATCACCCTCCTATTTTCCCAGCCTTTCTCTCTAGGGAACATCACACCCGATCAGCGTCAGGGCTTTATCCAGGCAGTCTCATTCCCTCCGTGTTCCCGAATCTCTAGAATCGCTTCACTGCTGAGCTCGTGCCTTACACAGTAACCTCATTCCAGAAGGTGCGGGAGCTTCCTCGTGGCCCTGGAGCCTCACCACGTCGTGCTCCTTGTGAACCAGCCAAAGGGCACATCCTTCCACTGGACAGAGGCAGAGGTCCATGGCTCCCACCTGAGAAGTGACTGCAGACTGATTTTTCATCAGTCTGTACCCATTTGTCAACTCCACTAACATTTACTGAGCACCTACTGTGTGCCCAGTGCTGTTACATTTACTCAGGTTATGATTCATCTGTGAGTTGCTCCAGCAGGTAGAATTTCTTTTTGGAAGATTTTAAAGATTTTCATTCCCCAAAGAGACACTACCCCTTCCTGTAGCGCCTCCCCCACCCCTGCCACCCTGGGCATCCAAAATCCCTTTTTGCACAATAAAGTAGTTGCTATTGGAAAAGAGCTATGAAGCTATTTGCAGGGACTGAGGCAGCAGCCTGGGAGAAGCCCCACAGGGGATGTGAGCTCACAGTCGCTTCCATCTCACAAAGTGTTTATCACTGGGTGCCCTGTTGTAGGCTTACTAAAGGAAAGGGGTGTAGCAGTGGTCCCCTGGTAACCAGAGGGCACTGCGAGTACTAGGAGGGGCCAGCTCATGCCCATCCACACAGGCCAGCATGCCTGGGACGGGGGTAGCCCATCAGGGTCCAGGGTGCCTCCTGATCACCGTCTGGGCAGACGTTCCCCTCATGGTCGACGCTGAGTGATTCTCCCGTCACTCACTGCAACTTGCTGCAACCGTCACACCTCTTTCCCATCTGTCTAAAACCCAAGAGCATTTTCAAAATGACACTTGGAACTTACCTTAAGGCATCATAGGGGTGCCTGGGTGGCTCAGTCGGTTAAGCGTCTGCCTTCGACTCAGGTCACAATCTCAGGGTCCTGGGATCGAGCCCCATATCAGTCTCCCCTCTCAGGGGAGAGCCTTCTTCTCCCTTGCCTGTGCTGCTCCTCTCACCCCCAACTCCCCTCACCCCCGACCGCCTGCTCGTGGGCTCTCTCTCACTTTTGCTCTCTCTCTCAAATAAATAAATAAAATCTTAAATTAACCCCCCCAAAAAAAACACCAAAAAGGCATTTTAGAAGTGGCTCTGAATTTCCAACTAAACAAAATCCAAATCCAACCTGTCCCATCTTTGGGACTTTGATACAACGAATGCTGGTTGTGGGAGGCAGCCAACCACAGGGAGAGGAGGAGTGGGGAGGCCCTCTGTCTCCCCGAAGCCCACAGGATGCCTTCGGGACATCCACTCGTTTCTGCCTTCATGGCACAGCCAGTGTCAGCCTCCCCCTCACCCCATCTCTGCTCCCAGCTCCCGCCCTGGCCCACACCACCTTCATCTCCGGCTTCTGCCTCCTCTTCTTCCTGCCTTACATCTGACACTTCACGCTCAGGCTGCAGCCCGCTGCTGTCATTCCCATGGAAGTTGGCCGTTTCCTGCCCTGGCTCACACCCTTGCTGGCTCCCTGATGCCTCTCTGACTTCATCCCCAACTGCTTTCCAGCTAGTCTCCTCTACTGCAGCCATCGTGCTGCCCTTGACATTCCTCAGACCTGCCAGGCACATTCCCACCACAGGGCCTTTGCACCAGCTTGTTCCCTCTGCCCTTTCCAGATATCTGCAGGCTTATGCCTTCATTTCTTCAACTCTGCCCCCATGAAGCCTACCCTGACCACCACATTCAAAATGGGCCCCCTCCCCTGGCGTCCCCAACACTACTCCCTACCCTATCTTCTGTATGACACTTACCACTTCTTAGCATGCTCTGCCATCTGCTTATGGAGAATCTTGGTCATTGGTGGACACTCCTGTTAGAAGGGGGCTTCCTGAGAGCTGAGTTTTGCTGTTTTGTTCACTATCCTAAGTGCCTAATCTACTGCCTGGCACATGGTAAGCCGCTCAATAAAGAAATGTTTCATTCGTTCATTTGTTCAAGAATTACTTATCGGCTACTCACTGTGTGCCAGGCTTGGGGCTGGTGCTAGGGCCTCATCAGGGATGCGAGGCCACGTGAGGTCCCTACCTTCTTGCGCTGCCTTTGGAGGGAGAACACTGACGACATGTGTGGAAACAAATACGTCGAGAAGACAACTCCAATAATTACATATGCTAAGAAGAAAGCAAGGTTCAAGGGGGTAGAGAGGGCGTGAGGAGGTTTTAGCTAAGTGAGGGGGCCAGAGAACACTCTGGGAGGTGGTAGCAATCAAGTTGAGACCTGAAGAGTGAGAAGGAGCCAGAGAGGGGACGTTCTGGGGAAAGAATATTCCAGGCCAAGAAAAGAGCATTAGCCAAGGCCTAGAGGCGGGCCTGACCCCGGCCTGTTCAGAAGGCCTAAGAAACCCAGCAGGGCTAGAGCTCCTGGGAGGCAGGAGTGGGTGGGCCAGCTGCAACTGGGGTGGGGGGGTGTCCCAACTCTGACCCTCCCACACTGCCAGGCCCTGCACCCAACCCTTGGTGTCTCTTGAGACGCCAGCTCTGCTTGCACTAGTTGGCACGTATCACCCATGCCCACGAGTGCTTGGAGGATTCAGTGAGTCATAGCATTAAAAATGTCCAGCCCTGGAGCTCCTGGGTGGCTCAGTTGTTAAGCATCTGCCTTTGGCTCAGGTCATGATCCCGGGATCCTGGGGTCAAGCCCCGGGTCGGGCTCTCTGCTCTGTGGGAAACTTGCTTCTTCCTCTCCCCATCCCCTTGCTTGTGTTCCCTCTCTCACTGTCTCTCTTTCAATCTCTCTTTCTGTGTCAAATAAATAAATAAAATCTTTAAAAAAAAAAGTGTCCAGCCCTGTGCACAGCCTGGAGGAGGCACTCATCACAGAAGCACATACACATGAGAAGCCTTGGAACTGAGAGAGATGTTGAGTGACCATGGTCCTTTGTTTTGTCCTTGCAGTGTCCTGCCCTGCTCTGAATGCCCCCCCAGATGGCAGAAAGTTTGGAAGCAAGTACTTAGTGGATCATGAAGTTCATTTTACCTGCAACCCTGGGTTCCGGCTGGTTGGGCCCAGCAGCGTGGTGTGTCTTCCCAACGGCACCTGGAGGGGGGAGCAGCCCCACTGTAGAGGTACAGACCCTCCTTCTCTGCTGGATAAAAAGGGTCATTCCACAGGACATTTTCTGCCTGATTCCTCCACCATTCCTCGGCTGCAGAATAGTGGCCCACATGTCCGCTGACTCACCTCCGGGCCAGGCCTGGACCGGCCTGCACGGTCTCTGCCAAACCCTCTCACCAATTTCGTCTTGTTTTGCATGTGGGGAAATCGAGGCATGGAGAGGTGGAGGAACTTGCTCCAGGCCATCCAGCGGGGGCAGCAGGCTAAGCTGATTCACTCCCAGACACTCTGACCCCAGAGTCTATGCTCCTAGACACCTCCCTCCGGATACTGGTGATATGATCTTCCTGATGTTCTGGGGCTGTAGTTTGCAAGGGCACTGATGACCTGTAGGGTTCAAGACATTCCCAGGTGTCTTTTGTGTCTGCTCTGGGACTTGGTGTAGACAGGATCCAGGAGAGACCTCGGGGATGGGGAGTGGACATGAAAAGGTTTCTCTTCTGTCTGTGCTTGGTTCAACAGCTGTGCTTTCTTGACATGGAGGAAAATCAGACTTCGCATTCTCTACCAAAAGAGGCTTTTCAAAAGTCTGTGGTCAGAAAGTCATGGATGCCGGTCATGTTTAGAGCAGGGCTCACAGGATGGCCTGCTGGGGCAGAATGTTCATGATTTTAGCCCAAGAATTGAAAGGGAAATGCAAATGTTACGTAAATAAGCATGTTGTCAAGAGTGGCGTAGAGAGGATTTGAGAGCATAAAGAACTTGGAAACATAACGGAACATTAGAAAATATGTCATCTGGGGCGCCTGGGTGTCTCAGTCAGTTAAGCGTTCAACTCTTGATTTTGGCTCAGGTCAAGATATTCAGGGTTGTGAGATCAAGCCCTACACTGGGCTCCACACTGAGCATGGGGCCTGCTTAAGATTCTCTCTGTCCCTCTTCTTCTGCCCCCTGTCGTCTCTAAAGACAGACTGTGTGGCTTGACATGTGGAGACCCAGCAGCCAGAACCACATTCACGGATTTAAACCTCCATTCCCCATCTCCTGGGAAAAACAAAGGTTTGAAGGTTGATTGCAGATACCAACTCTCAGACCTAGCTGGGAACCAGCAGAGAAATATAAGCCATGTAGCTGGCAACCACGCCAGGGGAAATGCCAGTATTTGGATTTACCCTTGACCATGAAAAACCTCCATCCAGGCTAATCACCTTACAGGTGACAAGCTATGGCAGCAGAGGTGGGAACACAATGGCATTTCATGGTCCTTGCTTTGGGTGTCTGTATTTTTTAACTTACAGATTGAGTTACAGACCCCAGTTGATTTCTTTCTCACAGCACTCAGACGCTCGGATGGCTGCATCATCCTTTCTGGGGTGCCCCCTGCAGCCTCCTTGGCCACACCCCGGATCACGGCCGCCCAGATGGCAGCCAACTCCCCACCACCATAAATGGTGCCAGCAAGGTCTTCTGCTCTCCCCTCTTTGTCACCGGGGCTGTCTCTCTAGGTTTGGAGTTGAGGGCAGCTGGCCGCATGCTCACTTCCTCTGAACCGAGCACTGCCTCGCTGCTCTTCAGCCGGGCTGCCCCAGCCCCTTCCGCCAGCAGTGCTGTGCGCACAAACACGTGTTGCCCATGTGCTGTTTTCTGTCTTGCCCGGGTATTGTGCACGTAGTCTGTCCTCAGTAGGGATAGGCATTTACAGTGAGCATGATGTGGTTTCAGTGAAAACATGAGTTCATCAGAGGAGAGAGCTGAAAGAATGCCTTTTTAGGTAAATGAGTAAGAAACATCAGAGGCTCGGGAACGTAGTTACAAGGACTGGCTTGACCAAAGGAACGCATAGGGGCTCGATAAGGCTAGGAACCCAAAAGGCTCCCCGCAGCCCAGCTCCATCTGAGCAGCTCACTAGGATGCCCCCCGCCCCCAGAGGATCCTGGGCCAGCCTCCCTCTGGAGCAGGCATGCATTAGGTGTGTGTTGGCGCCTTGCCTCCCCACCGCAGGAACCCTCCATGGAAAAGAGGGTCCTACCCCATTGGGATTTGTGTGCCGTGGTTTTCCAATTTTTGGGTCCTCCAGAGTCACGGAGAAAACTTGTAAAATGCAGGCACTTAGGCCTCAAAAGACCTATTGTGTTGGGTGAGATCTTTGTAGGTGAGACTTTGGCAATCTACATTTTCACTGTGATTCTGATGTTAACTAATTCTGGAGAAACACTCCTCTGCTGGTTCTTGGCACTGCCAGAAGGAGAAGATATTGAAAATTTTGAAGCCCTGATGCACTTTGGGCCCTCACCAATCAGAATGCGACCCGCAGCAAGCCAACAGTAAGTCTGTGTCCCGACTGAGCGTGTGTCCACCCCGGCCAGATGACTTACCTGCACATTCTCACCTCCACCCCCATGGACATTTTGGGGAGGCCAGCTTAGCTCAAAGACCAGGGCACCCAGCCCCACTGGGCAGTCTCCTTTCCTGAGATGTGGAGAGCAGACTTTTCCTGGAGGACCAATGCCAAGTGCAGCCAGCAAGTCTCCTGGCCTTCCTCATTGTCCAACGTGGTGCACTTCCTGATTCTCACCCTTGAACTTATCACCTCCTTCCACATTTGCATTTGTTCTTTGTTTCCACTCCCCCTTGACCTCCTTCCTAGCCATGTGTCCTTCTTCCCTGACCTCCCTGCCTGAGGACTGCTTGGTGCAGCCCACCCTGGACTTCGACTGGGACCACATTCACTATCTAAACCCCAGGAGAGATGGGCTCAGGGAACAAGGCTGTGGCCATTCCACGCGGAGAGCTCAGATAGATATTTGTCATCTGTTTAAGTGTAAATGAAGCATGAGAGTTCACCCTGAGGTGGGCTCAAACAGCTACAGGCACAGGACCTCTCCCCAGGTTCGTGGATGGTGCCTATGTGGACACCTCTGTCCCCAGCAGGGATTTATTCAACTAATGGATGCTATCTCCAGTAAGAGCCTCAAAGGGATGCCGCCCAAACCTGTCAGGAGGGAGAAGGAGAGCTTCAGTGTGCTATGGGGTGACCTCCTGTAACAGTGTTAGCAGTGTGGGCAGGACATGAGCTGGGGTTCAACAGTCCAGTGACCTACACACACGCACACGCACACTCACGCACATGCATACACATCTCAGAGAGGCCTAGAATCTTAGCTACGCATGCCTCCGCTTCATTTTCCATATCCACAGTCTTGTGGTCATTGTGTCATGACCACAGAGGGAAAAGAATCTTCTTAATCACAGGGGATTTGTTTCAAGACCCAAAATGTCAGTGCCAATGAAAGCTCTAGCAGCAATTCAACCCCTCACCCCATCCCCAGCCAGCTGCTCAGAAAGAAGGTGATGAACCCAACTTGGCATAAAAGGAAGTTTCACATAATCCTGCCATTAGAAAGCCCTGTGGGCAGAGGTAGGCTCCAGAGCTCCAAAATAGAAAACAGCCATTTGGCTCTCTGGATTATTTCCCTCTTTGCCTTTCTTTCTTGGAAGGGCATGTTTTGAAGAGCTGAAGCTTTCTGCATTGGGAGAACCATCGCCACAGGCCTTGTTGCTTTGACAACATTGGTAACCAAAGAAAAAACTTGAGAGAAATAAATAACTTTTTCCCTTACTCCCATGCTGGGAAAAAAGACTTGTTTTTGGCAGTCATCCCCTCCTCCCCTCTTTTTGTGACCTTTATTCATTCATTCAACCAGTTTTCATTCAGCACCAGCTATGCACAAAAGATTGTGCCAGGTGCTGGACATTCACGCCAAATGTAAGAGACACTGCCCAACCTCGTGGGGCTCACCTGCTAGGATGGAAACAAGCAAAACAGACAGGCAAATGCACAAGTAAAGAAATAGGGGTTTGGGATCCATGCCTCGAAGGGATCTAAGCAGGGGCTGAGAATCTATATGGTGAGGGCAGGAACATGGGAGGGCCTCTCTGAGGCGGTCATGGGGATGCAGAGATGTGGAAGGGCTTGCGGGGTCCATCATCCCATGATGAGCGGGGTGGGGTGCATGACAGGGGGAAGATGCTGTCCCAGGAAGGGGAGTAACATGTGTAGAGGCCCTAAGGAAGGGGAGAATTTGGCATGCTTGCGGAAACAAAAAGAGAAAGCATAGAGCCTTCCTGCTGGGGCAGGTGTGAGCTGAGCCTGACCAAGGAGTGGTGGGGAGACACACAGGCCAGCTCGTGCAGCCTCGGAGACCGGGCAGGAGGCAGGATTGTAGTTGGAGCACAACAAACAGGTGTACGGAGAGAGGTGTGGAATTGGACGTGTGTGTTGCTGCTGTCTGGAAAGTGCGCTGCAGGGGACGGGAAGGGAGCTGAGAAACCACTTGGGGGCTACAGGAGTCCAGCGGAGAGAGATGGCAGAGGAGAGTGAAAGCACACCTAGAGACAGAACGGATGGAATTTGCCACGATCCCACGTGGCCGTATGCATGGAAGAGAAGTCAGGGCTCCCCGACTCCGCTTGTTACTAGTCCCAGTGAGGACTCCGGGCACTTCCGCCCACGGCATCTTAGTCCTGGAGTTACCCAGGAAAACACAGCATGGTCAGACACTGGATGGAACCCTCGGCTCACGGAGGGAAGAGACAGAGCAAGGTCAGCCTCAGCTGTGGGGCCGGTTAGGGAGGCCAGCAGCTCACACAGGGCAATTCCTGGGTGGGGGGACCCCTTGTGCTGCAGGGAAGGACACTCCAGCCCCTTCTCATGGATCTGAAAGATTGAAAGCTGAGGGTTATTGACATCCACACGTGAGCAGAACAGAAGAACGCTCGTGGAGCATGAATCAGGGACAGGAGACCACCCCCTCCCACAGGAGGGTTAAGCCCTGCACAGGCGGCGTGGGCTCTTGGCCTCATGTCAAGGCAGTGGTCCAGGCCCAAGGCCCGTTCTTCTTCGGCCCAGTGGGGCTCCTCAGACTGCAGGCCTGAGACTGCCTTTCCCAACAGAGAAGTCAGGTGGACAGTGGGAGGACGGGAGAGACACCCACATTTGGGAATTACTAGC